GGAATCTTCTAGACTCACAATTCCTGCTCAAGAAGCAGGTGGCAATCATGGTTAGGAGGGCCTTTACACAACTTTATATTGTACACCAATTGTATTCCTGGATCAAGGGGCCCTACTCACAATCCTTCATGCCAAATCAACTCTCAGTTGGACTATTGCAATGCACTGTAGATGGGACTGCCCTTAAAGTGGGCAGTTGGTGTGTGCAGTTTTGTGAGTTTCTGGTAGATTGCATGTTACATCTCTGCTGTGTGAGCTGCATTGGTTACCAGTTTGTTTCTGGGTCTGGTATCTTAAAGGTCTAGATAAAATGAGATCAGTTATTTGAGGGAACACTTCTTCCTGATTTAATCTGCCCATCCCATTGGATCCAACAGAGTAGGCATGTTACACATTCTGTCATTTAAGGAGTTACATTTGGTGAGCTGTAGGCAAGAGGGACATTTTGGTGGCTGCATCATGGAATCTTTTTGCTCCAAAAATGAAGTCAGCCTTGTCATACCTTTGAAAGTCCCTCAAGGTCCAGTTATGTCAGCAGGTGTAGGGACATCAGGGGGTGGATGAACTTGTGAGATGGCTCATCATTTTTTAATATCCCTCCATCTTATTATTTTGGTATTCTTAGTTCTTTTATAGTTTTTAATGTTTTAATAATTATTATGTTTTAAGTAATGATCGTTTTATATATTTACTGTTTTATTGGATTGATTATTGCATGCCTCTCAGAGTCTTTTCTGTGAGATGGGCAGCCATATTTATTATTTTATTTAATTAATAAATAAGAAATCTAACTACTATGTGAGGAATTCTGCTTTACTAGGTCAATAAAAATGAGACTTTCACAGTAAAGCTGTAATGTTTTGTTTCTTTGTCTTGAAAATACTCCAATAAATATGCACTTGTCCTGTTGTAATATTTAAAAGATGTTATTTACTGATACTTTTTTTTGCAGGTGTTTTTACATCTCCATATGAAGGTCGTTATCTGATCACATCTGTTCTAGTGCCTGAGAGAGGTGAATATATTGAAGCGATGCTGTCGGTCTCCAATTCAAGTGTTGCTCAGCTTCACACAGCTGGCTATAAGAAAGACCTACCTGAATATCGCAAGCCAAGATCAGGAAAACGGATTTGTGGTGGAACTGGGGCTTTTCATCTTGTTCTCCATCTCAAAACAGGTGCAGAAGTAAGCGTTGTAGTTACTGGGGGCAGGTTAGCCTATACAGACTCTGATGAAATGTATTCTACATTCAGTGGAGTATTTCTATATCCTGAAATTTCTTAAGACCTGAGCAGAAAACAGATAAATTGAATCTGAAGGAAATAATGAATTGATAAGTGTTAATATTCCTCTTTCCATTTTTCTCCATTTCAATAATTTGGTTCCTATATGAATCTATTTTCCTTCTCCTATTTGTTTTATTTATAGAGTATGGTTATTTATGTATAGACCCAATTTGGTGTAGTAGTTGAGGCATCAGGCTGGAAACCAGGAGACCATGAGTTCTTCTCCTGCCTTAGACACAAAGCCAGCTGGATGACTTTGGGCCAGTCATTTTCTCCCAGTCTAGGAAATGGCGAAGCACTTCTGAAAAATCTTGCCAAGAAAACTGCAGAGACATATCCAGGCAATTTCTGAGAACTGGACACAACTGAATGTAAGAAAAGAAATATGCATACCAAGAGAAGCTATAACTTAGTCACATTACAAAATATTCAAAATGCATGTTTTGCAACATTTGCTAATATCTGAGAGCTATGATGGTAATATAATGGAACTTTATTCAGATTTCTATATACAACTGTTCTTATGAAACAATATCTTTGATATCTTTTTATTGTCTCTAGCAACTCTTTCTCATGCATTATTTTTATTAGCTTCCTTTAGCTACTGGGAGTTTACACTAGTAGTATAGATCACAGGGATACTTTGCATATGATTTAAAAGGGACTTCATTCCCAAACAGATTTCATGACAGTTGGTTATATCACAAAATCTGAAAATCTAGTGAAGGGCACCCATCACTGTCTTCCAAAATTAAAAATGGTTGAGATTTTGAGTGATAGCCACATTTCACAAAATCTTTATGTATGCACCTGAATTCTCATGAAGATTTGGTCATTTGCGTTTTAAGAAATGCAAGCATTCTGTTGCTTGAAGGCTGCTTATCTCATTCAAGGATGGGGGCTTCATTTCTGTTCCAAGGACACTTCATCTTGGATAATCTGCTGCAGTAAGAGCTAGAACTGCAGAAGGCTGTCTTTTTTTCTACCTCTTATTCTCTTTTTTAATGTATTTTGTCAGAAAGTGAACAGAATACTTCCAGATGGCTTTTAAAATTCAGCTTACACCCATTTTTCTATTCCTGAGTTAGCTATTGAGATCATTGCAACAACTGTGTAATGAGTCGTATTGTCCCTCATGTGAGGCTAAAATTGAGAAGTTGGCATGCATGACTGCATAAATCATACAATTTGTAAACTATAGTTTATAGCTTTGCAATGTGAAAACATCCATTATAAATTATGGCATGTGGCTTAGTAGCTTGTCTGACTCTGCTCAGTTGTGCCTTATTTAACACACAATATTAAAAGAACACAATTTTGAATCTAATATGTTTATTGCCTATATCTAGTATGTGTAACACAAAAGAAAGATTAAAATTAAGAACTTCATTCTTCATAGCTGTCTCATCTCTATAATACTGTTAATTTTTACAGAATTATTTTAATTTTTCAAAATTCTCATTTCCTCTGTCAGTTTTCTACCAATTCTGTATTATCTGAATCCATTTTTTTAAAAAATGTATCCAATATTTGCATCAGCTTTTACAATTATTATAACAAATGTTTTCTTTTTTCCAGGACTTCTTTATTTAGCATTTTAATAATTTACAAGCTCACAAGAGAACACAAAACTGTATTATTCATTCATAAGAAGTACTTTTAGAGCATACTATGGTAATAGCAGCCTGCCAAATAATACTTTTTTTCTTCTACTTTGTAAGTTACAAATGAAGCTAAGAGCTATTATTTCTCATTAATCTTCCCTGTTGAGGTCTCAGAAATAGTTATGTCCTTCATTGTTCCATGAGCCATCCCTGAAGAATTGTTTCTAAGCAACATAAAGCAAACTTCCTCCTGAAAGATGAGCTCATTTTTAAAATGATACATATGCAGAAAAATGTTTTCTATCCTCAAAACTAGAAACATTATTTTCTTCAGAATTTTATGAAAACATGTAAGTACTAAATTGTTCATTTTTTGCAGTTCACTTAAGTCGAGTAAAATTATCACCACTCCATAATCAATAAGTGATTGCTTTCTGTTTTACCATTTCACCTGGATCTACTTGAATGCAAAGCTGGTAATTTTAATTTCTAAAAAAGTAATCTATTCAGATTTATTTAAAAATAACACAATGCTGTCAGACAATAATAAGGGCCTAAGAGGGCCATAGCACTATACATTTTAGAAAGATTTTTATTACAATTAATCATTGTGAACAGCTGCTTTGTTTCTTTAACATTTGAAGTTAAAAATCAGCTTTTAGAATTAGAAAAACTCTTTTCTGGGAGTTACTTCTCACATTTAGAAACAATATTATATTTCAAGCATTTTAGGACTAGTTAATAAAACTCAAAAGTGTATTATTTGTCCAGGCTGCTAATGTATCATTGCTTTCAATAGAAGGGCCTATAACTTCTTATAGAAGGGATGGCAGAACCTGGGGCGGAGTGAAAAGGGTGATCAGCCTAGAATCCCTACACAGCCACAAGAAAACTATATCCAATCCTTGAGTGCTGTTGATCCTCATCTAACTAAACAAGTGTTAACCCTAGTTGACAAGATTCCTGTGCACAGGCTTTTTGCACTAAATCAGTTTAATTGAACCTTCATGTGTGGACCTGGTCTTTCGTGCCTGATATATTGTTATTCACAACATTCTGTATGTCATTTTCAGATTTGGTTTTGCATGAATGTTTTCAAATTTTATAAGCTATTTCAGCAAAATGAGAATGTACCCATTTGTACTTGGTCTTCCACAAAATTGATTTTGCATATGGTTGTTCAGTTGTTCCTTTAGCATGAGTGTATTCAAAAGTAGAGCAATGTTTAAGTATCAAGTGTTTATTTTCAATTGAAAAATTGCTGCAGTATACAGTATACTTTAATGAAGAAATAGTTCCCATATCTTTTTCACCATCCAACTTTGTCAAGTCCAGTCACTTCACCTTTTTCTCCAATAATTGGCTTCATCTTTGTTTATCTTCATATTTTATGGGATTTATGCAGTTCACATTTCATATTTCTAGGAAATGTCAAAGGCAAATCACTTTATATGTTTTCACCATAGTTTTCAAATATTTGCATATAATAGCTGAATTCTTACTGATGCTTGTTGGACTCAGTTAAAAACATTCTAAATATTTATTGCATATGCAATAAAACATTCAAGTGGGAGAACAGTAGAAATGGTGGAGTATTTTTGTTCCAATTTCTAGCCTTTATATTCTTTTTTCATATCAACTCAGTATTTTGTATCCTGAATATGCACCATGCTCTTTGGATTCTTTCCAGTACTTCTTCCCCCACTCCCCGCTTTCCTCCAGTAAGGATTAAATTATTATTTTATTTATCCTGAGATGGAAATGTTTATATTTCCATTGCACACTGACAATTTTGCTAATATTACTACAACTGCCAAACAACTGTATAGGCTATAGAATACAGCACCCAACCACAAGTGCAACCACTAGAATGTGAACTATTTTTATACAATGGCAATAGCTGTATTGTTATTTGGTTCTTCAGTAGAACAAAATTAACATCAAAATGGGTTTTAACACACTCATTTTTCATTCTCTTGTCCTATCCCAAATACTTGGTACTATAGAGTTTCTCCTCCTGCATTTAGAATTGAATTTTAATCCCCATAATATTTATAAGTATTTATTTATGCTATAAACATTTCTATAGAAACACTAAGACACTTAGGTGCAATTTTACTATAAACTTTATTAAACACTTTGATATGACATTTTTCCGAATACATCCAGTTTGTACCAAAAATCACTGTTCTGGAATGTTTATTGATTAATAAGTAAACAATATTGTATCAAAGGAAAAATCCAACTACAGTTAACAAGAATGTTCTCAAGAGTTTTCTTCTTTCTCAAAATCTGAACTGATCAAGTGTAGAGTTTGTTTTTAAAAAGTCTCAAGATTTTTGCCAACTTTCTTACTTGTAAGGTCAGAAAAAACATATGTTTTCAGGTATTTTTACTGTATTTGGCATTATTTTAAGACCTTAGTTTACACATTCTAATAACCTATATATGATACATCATATTAATTGAATTGACTTTAGAGTTACCCAATTCTGAGTCATGAAATTTAGTGAAATATTAATTTTCCAAATGAAGACAGATTTTTTCAACCAATATATTAACAGTAACATTTTTTTAAAAAAGCTTATCTATTCATTTTTATACATTTTTACTGTCTTCTGGACAGCCTGAACAGAAAGAAATAGGAAAACTGAGCTTTGTCTGACAATACAAAACACCAACATTCTGGGTCCTGTTTTATGTTTTTTTTAAAAAAAAAATCTGCAGAGATTCAGATCAAGATTTTCAGCTCATTTAGATTGCAGTATTTATTTATTCCAATTTATTCCAATTGACCGGAGCAGCAATTCATTATATTCCTAAAGTAAAATTACTCTTGAAAAAACAGACCGACATAGTAAATAAACATAAATGTCCATTTCTTTCACAGAAAGAATTAGCTTACATGTACTGATCCAAAACAGAAACAGTACAAGGATTGTTTCCCAACTCATCAGTATTTGCTACCAGGAAATAGATTAAAGATGAGCTCTATCAGAAAGTGAATACTGAGACAAGGTTAATCACTGGCCAGCTCAGGCAAAACCCAAACTTAATATGCAATTGTCTAATATGTTATCCAGAAAGATTTAAATAGATAATAAATAATCACCAAGTTAAGACTTGTATACTTGTTGCAATGAAAAGTAATGTTTAGATCAGGATGACTCAAGCACTTTGTAAATTTAACAAAGAAAAGAGCAGAATTCTGAGTGCATATAACTGTGTAATGGAATTCTTCCTTGAAAAGAAATTTGGAAATTCTCAACATTCAAAAATAAGCCATAGGTTTTTTCCATACCAGCCACTTTATCACAGAAAAATTAACTTCAGATGACTTCATTATATTGTTAGGGATTCACTTTATCAAAATGAACTTATAAAACATTACTAAAATGCAAATTAAATACCACTGCAGTGTAGAACAAATATCACATCTTTTGTGGATGTTAATGGAATTTTTCTTTGTTTTACTGAATTTTAATCTAAGAAAATGCTTTATCAAATATGAACGTGATTACATAATACACTAATGAATTTGATATAGTACAATTGGCAATGACTAATCAGAATTATATAATTTCAGCATACATTGAGAATATTGTTAATCTTCCAACAGGATGTATATTTGTTTCAACAATACTACACTGCAGCCCAAACACTGTTTATTTCATGGTGTTAAGAATCTGTACACTTAAAATAGTGTAAAAAATGCCATACCTTGAAATTTCTATTTTTTTCAGATATATTTTCTATACAAATTCAATAGAAAATAAGCCATTCCTCCTAATATTGTGAAACACTTTCTAAACACTACTGCAACATGAACTCAAATCAATAGCAGACCTTATCGTTTGATATATTTACATATGTTTCAGTGTCCATAAAAAAACACCCATTCACAAGTGTTGCCTATCCATTCTTAAAATCTGAGATAAACTTTAAGATAGTCTTTAAAATTATTTTGCTAGGACGTAAGGGTAAAAACCTCAGCAGTGGAAAACAAATGAAAGAATGTAAGACAACTGCTACTTAATCCAGAACTTTGGTTATTTTTTGAGATTTACTGTGCAGCTAATACAAAATATTTAATCAGAAGTGACATTTATAGCAGTTTCAAAATAATTCACTGACCTGCACCTTTTTTATCAAATTGAAAAACCCTGATGCAGAGGTCCTGAAAAGCAAAGCAGCAGTCCCACTTTTAAAAATTGACTGCATGTATTGCCTTTTATTTAGAAAACAGGTTTATTCCTGAACATTTTCTATATGTGTTGCCTAGTAACTTTTCCATCATACATAAACTAAACTTAATTAGGAAATGGCAACAATCGCTCATTTTGCAGCAAAGAAGTTCTTACCATTCTGTAGACTTTCAATTTCAGGTAGTACTGTAGCTTACAAAAGAAAAAAGTGCTGCAAGTAAAAAGCTCAAGGCAGGTCTATCATACTGTGTAGGATTTAAACAAACTGCTAAAGGCAAACCTGCATAAATGCATAATTAAAAATAGCATTTTACTTTGATTTCATTTTTCTAGATTTATCCATTAACCACTACATTCTTAAGACACACATTAAAAATTGCATGATGTTCTCAGTTGTTGCATCTAAAACACCTTAAATGCTATTTTGAGTATTATCCAGAATTCTTATAGCACACCAAACAGAAATGCTACGAGTTCCACATTTTTTTTGTATTTCATATACACTTGAAGATGAAAAGCTAAATTCATCCATTTTCCTTACTTTGAAAATTTGCTATTTCAGAAGGTTATTTTTCCAGTATCTTTAAAAAAACAGCGGGCTTGAGTAAAGAACAAAGGAGATAGTTTTGAATTTCACTAGTTTGTATCAACGAATAGCTCTTCTTGCATTTAATAAGACATATGGTACCAAAACGGTATAATGACCTCTCCAGAAAGAAGCTCTGTGTATGAGTGATTCTATTCAAGCTAAATCTTCCATATTCACTTCAGGAAGCAGTTTTCTCCAGTAGCAAAAAGAGCTGAATTCTGGGCAGACAAAAGCAGAACTCTGTTCTTTATTAATTAATGGAAACAAATGCTCCACAAGTTCATTTAATCTGTAGTAGCTGTGTAGAAAACAAATTAAAAAATATTAATGCATTATCTTGATTTTATAGCACAATATTATATATACTTACTATCAAGAAGCTTGCCCCACTAAGTTTAATTGTACTTATGCAAAGGATAACAGTGATATTCAAGTCTTAGCAAATGCTACATTCATAAATATACATTTGAAGGTTATAAATACAAGTGTAAAAACATATAAAACTCAGAAAAAGAAAAAAGTGCAAAGAAAAGAAGAAACAAAGGAAAGAAATATACAGAAAAAACAAAAGAGAAAAATTACAAACAGCTGCTTTCAATCTTCTCAGCAGAAGTTATAAATGCATTTATATTTATCCTCTTTCTCCAAGGGTATATAATTTCCTTCTTTCCATAATCTACTCTTTCTAATGATCAGATCCAAAAATCACAAATTCATTTTTTCTTTTTCTCAGCCAAAAGCCCATGTTATCCCATGCGTTAATAAAAATAGTAGTTGGTTTTCTATAAGCAAGCAAATTTCTTTTGCCTTCTTTGCTAGTTCCATTATCTTCATCAACCATTCCTCCACTGTAAGTACAGCTAGTCCTCAATTTAGCAACTGTTCAAAGTTACAACCTTGGGATACTTATGACCTGGATTCAAAGTTCTGACAGTCTTGTGACCAAACTTCAGGTGATCAGCAACATAGCCACTGTTTGCAGCATCATATGATCACATGACCATGTTTTACAAAGGTTTTGCTAAAAACCAGCATTTATTTCCAATTTTTGGCAAAACCACGCCCATAGCAAACCAGTGGTTTACTTTAGCAACCATAACATTCACTTAACCAACACAAAATAGTTACAGACCAACTCGTTTCACTACTCTCATGACTCAGAACCTTGATGGGCAAACTCCATTACAGTTGTAAGTTGAGAACTGCTTATATTTTAAAGTCATTCCATTTTGTGCCTGTAATATCTTGCAGCAGTACTCATATATAATAATATTCTTCAGTGGCTCTTCTCCAGTTGTTTGTCTAGTTATTCATCCCAGCAAAAATAGTTCTTATTTCAATTTGTAAAATTCTTGTATCATCATCAACCCTACATTTTCTGGCTTTTTTACAAGTCTACCAGGCATAATAAAATGAGACTGACAAATGTTAAATTTTATTGTCTATTTGCACATATGTGAACACAATTGTCTGTTTGCACATATGTGAACACAATGAAGATGGCATAACAAATCCAAAGTTGCAAATGCTCACAATCCTAGAGCTCAAGCTAATCATAAGGTGAAACCTCCATGAGGTAGATATGTACAAATTTATCACAGATATCTAGTGAATTTAGAGAAAACATCTGAAAGAGTTCAGACATGAGTTAAAGGGAAAGCAACATCCTAAGTAGTGAGCAGAGATAATAAAAACCCTGAGAAAACCAGGCAGCAGAGCCATTAGAAGCACGAATATCCTTCTTTCCTGGGCTTTTAAAAAGAGAGAGGGTTAAATCTAATTTGTCTTTGGTCTGTAGTTTTCTCACAGGTGAAAGCATCTCTTTTGGTTCAAAGTCATGTAGGTAATAACAATTAACCAGTGGAATAACCTGCCTCAAGAAGCTGTGAATGCTCCAACATTGGAAGTGTTTAAGAAGAGACTGGACAGCCATTTGTCTGAAATGGTATAGGGTTTCCTGCCTGAGCAGGGGGTTGGACTAGATGACCTCCATGTCCCTTCCAACTATTATTTTTATTTTTATTATAATAATAATAATTATTATTATTATTTCCTTTTTCACCAAACTGAGACTTGGAAATCTAGGAAATATTAACCAATTTATGAATCATTAGAAGCTTCATGCAAATTAGAATGTTTATACTATGCAACATGAACGAGTGGTGGCTTTTTTTTTATTCTGACCACCAAATCCCACTTAATAAAGCCATTCCATTAGGATACCATCACTGATAGTATCAAAGGTATTGAAAGATTCAGAAGGTTCTCCCCATTTCATTTCCCCAGAGAAGACCATTCATCATAGCATCCACTGTTTTGATCCCAAATCCAGCCCTGAAATCTAATTAAAATGGCTTCAAATAATATTCATCTGAAGCTATCACCCACTATTGTTTTTCAGTAATAATTTTATTACTAATTTCAATTGCAAAGATAAAATCTAATACAAATTAAAAAGAAAAAGGAAATAGGAGCAGAAAAAATAGAAAAGAAAAAATAATAAAAAATATATAAGGAAATGACTTCCCTTTTTATCATTATAAATAGTTTTAATAACTTATCCTCTCTTAAAGTATAACAAATTATGTCTACTTTCCATATCCCATCTCTTATCTATAAACAAATCCTTGAAGTCTCATTTCAGTCCTGATCAGCAAAAGTCCATTAAGGATTACCAAAGACAGCATATCTACTTTATTTTTTCTTTGTGCCTTTTCCCCCCCAAATTTAAATCCAATATAAGAAAATCCAGGTTACTCTCTGGGTTTGTTGTATGTTTTAACCAGAACCCTTTTAGTTATTAAGACATCAGCCAATTTCTTTTGTATGCCCAGTGTAACATCTTTTTCCATGTTATTCTTGTTGCTGTAATTTGTAAATCCATTTTTAATTCAGTCTTGATTTTTTTTTAGGTAATACTTGTTCTTTCTCCATAATATCTTTTTAGACCGAGACTATGCATAGAGGCAAAGACTATTAAAATTAACTTCTAGGTCCACTGTTCAGAAATATCCTTCAACATACTCAGTGCTAAGAATATTTTGCTTCGTTCTGTAATTTTTCAAAAATAAAATCAAAACAAGAGCATTTTGCTATGGGAAGGATATAATAACTGTAATATTTAATTCTAAAATCATATTTAAAATCCACCTGGACAATTAATCTGTTTGTAACTTTCTAAAATTAAAGTTCTAATCACCCCTTTTGTGCTAGAGTAAAGAAATGCAGTTCTTTAGCTATCAGTCAATTTACAATTACACATTGTAAATTAATAACAAACATAACTTCACACAATATTGTAATCTTGCCCAGTCTGTTTTTAAAATCCTATACTTACGAAGACTTGTTTCCTTTTGTTTGTTCCTGGATAAGTTCACCCTTGGGGTTAACTGTAAATATTCTGCAGGCTGGAACTCCAACTTGCATATAGGCATAGACATCCTGCAAATAAACAGAACTTAACTGTATTTCAGTCCATAGGAGATGATACCAATTTTATTACTTATCAATATTATACTAAATTACATAGGCACTCACAATAATTTTGACATAGTTCTAAATTTGGTTAATTTAAAATAGTTAACTAATTACTGTTGAAAGATATTAATTTCTAACATTTCTACCCTCCCAATCTTCTGAAAATATATCAACTCATTGAAAAAATGAGTTGATTGAGAAAGCAACTATCAGCTGAAGACCTGAATCCAAACAAGGATATGATTAGAAAATGTTACTTTTGACTTCTGGTTTTGCATCACAGCGGGACGGGACGCAGGAAGGCAGGGCTCTGCCTTCTGTGCCCAATTTCGCCCTGCTGGGGGCCCTAAAAAGGGCCTAAAATCGCCCTGAAGAGGCAATGAAAAGGATGAGTGCCTTGTTGATCACAGAGAGATGGCGGTCTTTCCATTTGATCCAAGGAAAGCCCTCCAAACCGGCAGGGGAAAGACTGGCTACATTCTCTTGGCTGGCCATTAGCTGCTGACAACCAAAGAATAAAAAGCACCAATTAACACATCGTAAACAGCATGTTTGGAACTGGATGAGAATATTGATCCTTTCTTTACTATTTTACAACTGAATTTCCTGGGAAAGGCTCCCAAGAAGCTAAAAACCTCCGAATGTGAGGAAGCGGCATTTTAATTTTATGTGGGACAGAAAAATACAATACTGAAGTGGAAGTAACATAAAGCTACAGTTTTGATAAATTTGAAAACTGGGATAACCATTAAGATTTTCTCTTTAAAAAAAAATTGAGGCGAAAATTGAGGCGAAATATAAGAAATCAATCCTTTGTCTTAAGAGTGGAAAATGGACTTTGAATGACATCTAGTGGTGGATTTGTGTACAGCACTATAATTTGCTTTCTGGCTGCTTGGTGACTCCTAGCTTGGGAGAACAGCTGGCAATAAAGGAAAATATTTTGGCATACTTATTATCCTGACCTTCTTGGATTATAAATAACTACCGAGCTTGGACTTTTAACCTCAAGAGCTAGTGGGAGAGAAAGAAAAAATTTACTTTGGACTACGCCTGGATGGAAGAGACTTTTGAGCTGTTTTCAGAGAGGTTGAATATTTTGAACACTTTGAACATTGTGGATTACAACCTTGCCTGACTGACAATTTTTGGATACTTGAGACAAAGGATCACTATAAAATATTGCTTTCAGGACTGGATCTATACTCTGGAATCTATTGGATTATAATGGCTACATATAAAGACCAGAAAACTAGAGGAAATTTTGATCTACTCTTACTGAGACTGGTGATACTAGAAGATCTCCAGAAACCATGTCTCAAGAAAAAACAAATAATTTTCAGAAGGAAATATACTCTATGTTACAACTAATTTACCAAACAATTGTTGCATACAAAGAGGACATAAAAAGAAATCATAATGAAACTAAAAACAATTTAGATAATATAAATGAGCAAATCTCCAAATTAAATCTACACTAGAAAGTTCCCAGATAACGACCACAAAGTATAAACAAATAAACCAGAAATCAGAAGATGAAATAGAGAAAATGGATTTAGAGACGGAAGAGATAAAAGAAGGAAAATATAAAAAACCATATATAAACAAAATACTGCAAGATTTAGCCATAACAATGAAAATGCAAAAGACCCTTTATCCCTTAGGTCTGCAAAATACATCTGATGGCAAGGAAGATTTTTAAAAATGGAATATAGAGCTGTTAGAGGAAATGTCACAACTTGGAAGACAGGGAATGAAAAGAGAAATTGAGGGTGTTGGTTAAATGGGCAGAATTCCCCCCTCCCCCCCCCCAAAAAAAAAATAAATTGTCTTCCTCATGTCAAGCAATTTTTACAAAAATAGAAAGAAAATTCCTGGGCAATCTAATTGCCCTGGCTTGGAAATCTACTTGGCAAAGAAAGAAAGTGAGAGTCAGATTTAAAAAAACAGAAGATTTGACCTTTTAGAGGGGGCATTATATGTTTAAATACTTGTTTGAATAAGATTAAAAGAACGGATAACCCTTAGGAATAATTAGTCTTTTATAATGAAAGATATGATTTAGAACTAAAATAGCATTTTTTTCTGTTTCTTTTTTTTTGATATGGGAAATATGGAAATAAGAGGATTGGTATGAATAAAACTTTTAGCTATATAAATGTAATTAATATTGAGAAAATTATAACTGACAAAGATATTTCAAATACTGATGGGAAATCAAACCGTAACAAGGATATTGATTTATGAATTGATATTATTATTTGTATATTAGTAAAATATGATGAAGATGCTTATATCTAACTCTGTATACATCAATAGTACCAAAAATTGTAACTGTAATGAGGGGAAAAAATACAGGATTGTGTAGTACTGAACAGATTTATATTGAAGAAGTTAATGTTAAATATCTGAACCGAGACATGTTGTTTACTAACCACTAAAGATTGTAATTCTTAAAAATCAATAAAAGATTAAAAATGTTACTTTTATTTGCAATAAGCTATAAACGTTATTTTTGTCTGCCATCAAAAGAACCTTCTGATAGATGGGTGTCTATATAGGTTTGTTTAATTAATTAATGAGACAGAGAAAATCAAATATAGAGCAGATGCAACTAATTTTATAAAATAACATTACTAACAGTGAAAAAAGATAGTTGACTATATAGTGAAGAAAAACTAGATATGATTGAAATAAAATAAGCATGACAAAAGGAAAACATTTTACAGAAAAAAATACACATACTATAGATTTAAAGTATCTGAAGATTACATTACATTTTTGGAATGAAATATTATACTTAAGGAGCTCAATGTGATATTGAATTCTATTTTCAAGTATGGAATTTGTCATCGTATAAAAACCTTTTGTTCTATTGCCCTTAACCCACAGCAAAGTAATTTTATATGATTGAGAAAACACTTACTGACCTGGTTTTAAGAAATGGATCCAGAATATGAGTTTGTCATGTATTTTTGAAAAATATCTGTGTTCTAAAAATAAGGAATTGATGCAATTCATTGCTATACAACAGGGGTCTCCAACCTTTTTGGGTTGGCGGCCCGGTGGGAAAAGGAAGGACAGGCACCTTTATGTGTCCATGTGCGCACATGCAAATGTGGCATAAGGGGGGGCAAGCGCATGCACACGCACGCGTGCACTGGCCAGCCACTCGCGCGGCCTGGTGGCCAAGAGACCACTCCTGGTAATGGGCCACAGTCCATAGGCTGGTGACCTCTGCTATAGAGTCTAGATTTAATGGAAAAATTAAGACCAAATTAACTTTACAGGTAGTCCTCACTTATTAAGACTAATTGTGACCTGCAACTCAGTCACTAAGTGAAGCAGTTGTTAAGCAAAACATCACAGTAAGCCTCACTTAGCAACAGCTGTCCTGATAGCAATCCTCAAACAAATACACCCGACAGGACTTGTGACCTTCTGCTAGCTTTCCCATTGACTTTGTTGGAAGCTGGGTGGGAAGGTCTCAAATGATAATCATAAGACCATGGAAAGCAGTGATAGTCACAAGTCCAAATAAAGTCATATATCACTTTTTTCAACACCACTGTAATTTCATAGAATTGCTAAACAATGGTTGTTAAGTGAGAACTATTCGTATATTATTATTTGTAGGACAGAGGAAAGTCATTGGATACAGAATGGAAATTGCCCAATTTTGCTAGGATATGCATCCTTCCATAGTAGGAACCTGTCTTGTAACAATAATTTCATTTCAATAATATAGTTTAGTACAAAAGGAAACAAATTGTAGGATGATGTAACTTACATTAGGTCTGTTCCCAAAAGCTGCATAAAAAGGCTGTTCACATGGAGCAAATAAGTTCTTAATATCATTCAAACATTCAATTTTGAATTTCTCTGGCTTTTTTTCTATAACTTCCCTACAAGGAGAAATACAAAATGTGATTAGTTCCCTTTACTGTCAGAATTTCTTGTGAAATTTAGAAACAATTTTCTTTATTTTAAATAAGTTATAAATATTCTGTAGGTGATATTAGGACCACTTTACATTTTTGAAAATTTATAAGAAAATAAATGTAACCTAAAAAGATGGTAAATGAACAGGCATGTTTTTCACATAAAATAGCCAACAGCATCACTAATTTAAAATAGCCAACAGCATCACTAATTTAAACATAAGGCAGAAACAATGGAAATGCACACCGTTGGTAGAATTACTATCCATCAAAACAGTTCAAGTTGATATTGTTAGCTGTTGATTTTTTAAAGTTTATATGATTTGTAAACAGCTCAGAGCTTTCAGAAATAGCGGCAAACAAATGAATTAATAAACATGTACATTAAGTATACCTCTGAATTAGTTAAATGTAAATAATTTTATGCTGTCTTGCCAAGATATTCTCTAGTTTAGAGATGTGAGCTTGGAGACACTATTTATGAGCATGTTTAGCATAAAATTGGACTTTGATTCTTGCTTGTGCATACTGGCTAAAATGTGCTAAAATTGACTGGTATTGTTATTAGCAGGAAATGCTGCTAGTAGCAAAGTGAGAATTAAGCCTAGAAATCTATTCTATATCCAATTCATGTCAATATTAATCATAATGCAAAAGATTGAAACCATGGTAACCAGTGGAATTCAGACTCAGAATATTTGAGTATCTGTGGTGACACCCATAACATATGAATATCTACAAAACTTCTCTTATGTCAGCTACTGGCATGAATTATAAGGAAGGTAGCTTTGTTCATAAATTAAGAGAAAAGAGAAAGGATGCAACTGATCTAACTAAAGGTGATTTGATCTTGTAGAATGGAATTGGTGAATCATGGATTATAAATGAAAGAACTAAAATTACATCAGAAAGTATGAACTGAGGTCATCTAGGAAACCACGGATAGCTGACTGTTATTTTCCTTTGCATGGTAATAAGGGAAGAATCAGTCACATGTTTGGCAAAAACCATGGAACATTCTAAATAAATGCAATTCATGGAAAAAATATTTGTAAGTAAAATAAATAGATATGCGAAAAAATAAGCAAATATGGAAAAAGCTATTGAACCATTCAAAGACCTTGGAAGGAATGATTGCTGAAAAAAATAAGTATGCTTCAAGCATATGGTTTAAAACATAAGCCTTTACAAGTCATCAATTGTAAGTAAGTGAGGCAAAGAAATGAACATACAGGTAGTCCCTAACTTACAACCACAATTGGGACCAGAATCTGGATCACTGAGTGAAGCATTCATTAAGTGGGATGTCATGTGATGTTTTGCTCAGCGACTGCAATCGTGCAACGACTGCATTCCCATTGCGGTTTTTAAGCAATTTTGCAGTTTAAGTGGCCACAGTCCCAGATAAGGAATGCCGGGTACCTCAGGGGGTGGGGGAGCCTGAGGGGCAGTGGGAGCTGGCTGATGCTGCTGAAGACCCCAGATCTCTACTTCAGGCCAATCCCTGGCACTGCTGCCAATTAGTGACGTGCTTCACTGCAGGATGGCAAAACGACATAGAACGGGGGTAGTCATATCACTCCTATGGCCATAAATGCAGGAGGCTGCCATGCACCTTCCTTTTGATCACGTAACAGCAGGGGTGCTGCAATAGCCGTAACTTCAGGCACAGATTGTAAATTCCTTCATATGGTGCTGTTGTAATTTCAAACAGTCACTGAATGATTAAGTCAAGGACTACCTGCAAACCTAAAAGCATGACTGACTAACTGGATTTTAATATAAAGTATATGTAACTGAAACCACGCATTAAAATAATGCCACTATATCATACCAGGATAAATGACACAAGCAATTCTTGCAGTTCCTGAAGTTGTCTTGCACAACACTAAATGATCAGAAATAAGATGTGTTTCACTTACATACCTATGGAAGGCAGAAAACAAGCTGCTAGGTGACAACATCAAAGGACCCTTGGGTAAAATTGTTCCTTTATCATTAACCCAATGTAAGTATCCTCTTGTCATATCTGCCATTCCAATTGCACGAGCAGAACAATACAGAAACTTGTAGCCATTCCTAGGAAAAAAGGGTTTGTTAATAATATGACAATCTTACCTGATTAAGTAGTCCAAAAAACAATGAAAACTCCTTTGATTAGTAATGATTGGGCAGTTGCAAAGATAAAGCAATCTTTTTTTAATCCTTTAACCAGTAATGTAGAAACTAGCTTACTATATTAAATAGGTATCTTTGAGTAACATATGCTTTATTTTACTCTGAAATAACTTATGTTCATTCTGAAATGCTGCAAGAAACGGAGCCTGTTATTGTTCAGGTTGCCTTTTCTTTCAAATTTCTACAGAAGCTACTTTTTCATCAAACATCATGTTGCTCCTCAGTTAACTCAAAAAGAAAAAGGAATTTAAAAGTCTTTTCTTTTTCATGTTTGCTATAAATTCTTGCACACAGAATTCAGAGCAAGGCTACATAACACAGTTACTGAAAATCTACAAAATACATTCAAAATATACTGATACTCCCATTGTTAGAATTCTGGGATGAGGAAAGAATGAACTGAATGAGATTGCACCCTGAAGTCTGGATCAGAAAAGTCTGACAACTTCTGCTTTACAGCACATTGCGATACTGTTGTGATATATGATATTCAAAGTAGCATTTACTTGTTTATATACTATAAATGTATCATATGTAATTTTCAGTTTCCATGTTAGCACACAGAAATGGAATAGAAATGGTTATCAACACAACTCAAACAAAAATTATTTTACAAACATTGATAACTTACTCATTAATAGAATGATAGAGTTTTGCAATACCCTGATGAGTCCAATCTTTCCCAAGCTGTGGTAAAATCTGCCCTAAAGCATCAGATCTAAACCAGAAACAAATAAAAACAATCAATGGTCTTAACTCATATTATCAGTTCTTAACTGAATTTATTTTTCTGATTAAATCAGCAGGTCAAGTAACTTCAAATACTTGAACAGAATTAAAAGAATGAGGGCAAGCAAAATAGGATTTAAAAGCAGTTCTTTTCAGTAACAATTATTCAAAGCGTATCTATTGGAAGCAATTGAATGTTAACATCATTGTAGAGTTTCATCAAAAAGAAAACTGTATTTTAGCTTACTTAGTTATTGTCCCATCAATATCAGAAATGATTATTTTGTCATTCCAGTTCCATAAATATATTGTCCCAGAACAACGACAAGTTCCTTGATACTGAGTTGTAATGCTGAACACAACATCATTTGGTCCATCTCTAAGCTTCAGTTTCTCCTTTGACATGAAAAGATGTAAACATGATAGTTAAAAATAACATACAGTTTCTTTCTAAATTATTTTACATTTCAGGTAGTCCTCAACTTATGACCACAACTGAGCCCAAAATTTGTTGCTAAACGAGGCAGTTGTTAAGTGAGTTTTGCCCCATTTTACAACATTTTTGCCATGGTAAGATGAGGACTACATAAGATAAGATAAGATAAGATGATAACCTTTATTGTCATTTTTTTTACTGTGGGCACAATGGCACACATCAAAAATGAAATTTAGTTGCCCGCTCTCAAAGTGAAACACATACATGACACACACCTAAACATACTATGTACAACATATGTATAGACCACACCCCTACATATACATAACAAATACATATTAAATACTGTCCATCTTGAATATATAACGGAAGGAGGAAGCTTGAGAGTTCACAAAGTTAATGCTGTATGAAATGATACTATGGCTGAATCTGGATGTTCTGCTACTGATACCACGAAGCCTCCTCCCAGAAGGTAACAAGGAAAACAGGTCGTGAAGAGGATGTGTAGTGTCCCAGATAATCTTACGGACTCTGCTCAAGTAGCGCTTCTGTGCTATGTCCTGGATGGGAGGGAGGGAGCTGCCAATGATCTTTTCGGCCATCCTCACCACTTTCTGCACTGCCTTCCTGTCTGAAGCAGTGATGCTTCCAAACCAGACTGTGATGCATGTACCCAACTTTTAAAGATTTTGGAAGTTATGTTAGCATTATTTTTCAAACAGTGCAAGCCTTAATAACAGAACAATAATTAAGATGCAAGGCAGTCTTAACTCTAAACTCTAAAAGAACATTAAAAGCGGATATACAAGAAAGATATTTTTTAAAACTGTTTCTAGTTTTGTACTTATTTCACTCAGCATACAATTGAGACAAAATTGAGATGAGATATTACTAATTGTACTACTTAATTAGTACTAATTAAGTAATAATTAATAGCATTAAAATATTGTAAAATAATTCATAATAAAGGTTTCCCCTATCCAGTTGTTCCTGACTCTAGGGGGCGGTGCTTATCTCCATTCCTTAGCCAAGGAAGCCAGCATTATCCAAAGACATTCCCATGGTCATGTGGGCAGCATGACTATATACCGAGACATATGGAACATTGTTACTTTCCCACCAAAGTGATATTTATTTACTCGTATTTGCATGCTTTCAAACTACTAGGTGGGCAGGAAGTGGGGCAAGTAATGGGAGCTCACCCCATCATGCGGCACTTGGGTCTCAAACCTGGGCTGTCAGCTTTCCAGCTAACAAGCTCAGTTTTTAACTATGGAGACATCACACCCCTTAAAATAATCCATACATTATGTACAGTGGTGGGATTCAAATATATGAACAATCGGTTCTCTGTGTGGATGCTGCTTCTGGAAGTCCATTCTGGGCCTGGGCAACAAAAAAATAGCTATCAGTTCTGCCAAAGTGGTGCGAACCGGCTGAATCCCACCACTGATTATGTATTAATATCCCAAATACTTTTAAATTCCTATTATTCATTATTATTAATTTTCCAATTAAAAACCAAATTGAGAGATGCTTGAAATATAGTTCTTATCAAATCTTTCTAAGGATCAAAATCCAAACAGATTTTAATAATCTCAATTGCAATCTGAACAGTAATCTAATGCAGAAATTTTTCACTGATGTATTTTTTTTCATCAAAACTACTCTAGCTAAGTTTTATTAAACTAGATTCATAAATATTTAATGTTGGAATAAAATAACAACTTACAATTTGATCTGAAGACAATCTAAGTGACTTTCTATAAGACATTGTGTTCCCGGAGCTTGAATGTTCAAATGGAATGGGATCTGCCATTAAGGATTGTTTCAGTTCCTGGGAACCTTCATCATCACTAGAAGATTCATCATCTGGAAGCCTAAGATGATGCAGACATACCAAGATATATTTCAGAGATTTATTTAACTATAGCACCTGATAGTTTGTAATATGTAACAGCATATTTGGATCAAACATTGCAAAAGGAAGAATAATTTTTACTAATTTAAGACAAAACCAATTTAGATACAGATACACACACACACATATATACACACATATATATACATATATATACACACACACACACATATACACACACACACACACACACACACACACACACACACACACACACACACACACACACACACACATATATATATATATATATATATATATATATATATATATATATATATATATATACATATATATCCAAATTTCTTTTTCTGACAAAGAGTTAAAGAATTAAATCGGGAGACTAAGATGGCCATTTCTAGCTTGTTCTGCTTTCATCATATATACATATACATACACACACACACACACACACACACAGAGACACACACACACATATATAAATCAGTGCCTTAATTTAAAAAGTGGATTTATAACATTGCTTGAATTAAGCCTAGCTAAGATACTGTTTAGTGACAACTATTCAAATATATAGAACTTGTGTAGCTATTAAGGTATTTGACTAGGACCTGAGAGATCCAAATTCAAGTTGATCCTTAATCCTGGAAGTTAATCTTTGGTAATTTTCTCAACTATTTTTTTTTACATTCTGAATTTTAGAAAAATAAAAAATGCCACAATGGCCATAGCATTCTAGCACTTTTTGAAACAGCAAATAATTAAGATGGAGTATTGTCATGAAATTTTCTTAGTCTATGTAGCTCAGAATTGATAACCACATTTCAGGGTTCAGGACAGGGATTTTAAAAGTGTTATTAGAAGATTCCACAGACTGAGGGTAAAATCTTTTTTTATGAAAGGCACTATCAATACCTACAATCCTGCCAAAATATCACAACATTATGGATTAAAAAAATCCAATTTTCTAGAAAGGCAAGATACTGTCTTTAAGCACAAATTGATTTTCAAAGTGACATACTGGTTTTCAAGTTGTTCCTTTATAGTTGTTGATTGGTTGTCTTTTGGAGCCTCAGATTTCCCATCCTTTGTTTCTGGAAGCTAGCATCAGAAGAGTATGTTAGGACCACATCATTTTGCATTACCACCTGAACAGAAAGATAACTTGCATTTCGGAAATACGTATCAATCTAGCTGTAAAAAGTTGTAATAGCATCAATTATTATATTTAGTCATTTGTTTAACATCACTCCTAAACCAAGAACAGGATGCAACATTTATAGAGCAGACTCCAAAGTTATAAATAACAACATACACTGTGAATACAACAATTTTTTAATTACACTTACAGACACACAAAAAAGGTGTTTGATATGAAAAATAGAGCAATACAATTGATGAATAAGACTCAACTAGGAGCTTTAGAAAAGAATGCCTGCAATTGCTTATGCATTTTCAAAATGTATTACTTTTTCTGGTATTATGTTGAAAGTTTCCTTCTTGACAGTTCTAGACTGCTAATAACACCAAAGGAAAAAATGCAATAACATGTGAAGATGTGGAGTAAACAGTGTTGATGGGGGAATGTGATAAAGATGCATTGTAGCATTTCTGATGTTGAGTTAATTTGCAATTGTCAGCTTTAGTTAAACCTGACATATATTTTAATACTGCAAAGTGTCAGACACATTGTCAGCAGTTTGATGTGACTAATAAAATCACTATCTTCTAACCCTCCCAAACCTAGCACAGATCTCTGCAGCCAATATAGTTAATGATAAATACTTTAAAATTAAATATAAACTGCATTAAATTAATATGAGAGTATGTGATGCAAGTGACACAAAGTGAATTATACAAATAAAAATTCACTCCATACCTGAATGTGTTTAACCTACATTTCTGAACTATGAAGTATAAAGCTTAAGATATAACCTCTAAACCAGTGGTTCTCAACCTGTGGGTCGGGACCCCATTTGGGGTCGATCGACCATTTCATGGGGGTCGCCAAGCAAGGCTGTCCGCCATTTTTTTTGTCTGCCATTTTTTTTGTCTGCCATTTTTCCCCCTTTTCCAGCGGGTGCCTTACCTCTCTTGGGCTGGGCCAGCTGGTGGTCGGCCTGCTCCGTCTCTGCCGCTTGCCAGCTACGCCTCGGCCGGCGCAGGGGGCGGAACCACGCATGAGCGGGGCTCCCGGGCAGGGAAAGTCCTCAACTTACGACCGGTTGGGTAGTCCTCGACTTACGACCGGTTTAGTCCTCGACTTACGACCGGTTTAGTCCTCGACTTACGACCGGTTGGGGTCGCGGCATTAAAAAGGTTGAGAACCACTGCTCTAAACTAATCCAGATTTACAGCTAACATGTTTTTTTTTTACCTGTTTAATCAAACTGTCCTTTTTTCGCCAGAACCACCATCTTCCAGACTTCTTCGGCATCTTATCTTTAATCCAGGATTCAATTGTTGTCTAAAGAATTTTTAATGTACATTCATAATATCATCTTCTTTTTTGCAACATACATAACATAATACATGCAGAAATATATTTCAAATAATATCATTATTTGATTATATTAAACTTTCTACTTCTCATGCTTAAATTTGGAGACAATTGTATAACCTTCATGGACTCTCTTCTCCCTAGAAAAAGAGAAACAGCTCCCCTCTGCCTGACCACATTTCAGTATTACATATTGCAGGACACTGTCATATCAATGCACATTAATTTCTCATAATGTTTTCTGACTTGCATATTATTATTCTTCCAGCTCACTGGAAAAAAATGAAAATAAAAAATTCTTCTACAACTCAGAACTTGGGGCAAAAAATGATCCAACCACATAAAAATAATGGGCAAAGATATATCAATGAATATGGCAATACCAAAACTAAGCCTCATTTAAATATATCATACACCTTCCACCACTTATCCATTAATGTGTGCGCAGCAGTGGTGGGATTCAGCCGGTTCGCACCACTTTGGCAGAACTGATAGCTAATTTTTTGTTGCCCAGGCCCAGAACGGACTTCCAGAAGCGGCAGCCACACAGAGAACCGGTTGTTCACATATTTGAATCCCACCACTGGGGCGCATGTATGAATGCAGTTCCAAATTACAAGAAGTAAAGCTGTTTTCAAATTAACTATTATATCAGAGAAGGGATTGCAATTTTGAGGATGATCATATTTCAGTAGTAACAGCAGTTCAAAGCAGGTTATATGAGGCCTCCTTAGATTTTTATACTTACATTTTCTCAAGTGGTCTAGATTGAGAACAACTCATCTTGTGAATTTCACAGATAAATATGGAACTGAACCTTGATTATCTTTCATATATTGTTTGCATGAACAGCCAATACAAACTGCATTGTTGAACAATGATAAAATGTGAAGGACAATGTCATAACCCATACCCTTGCCTTTTTTGCCTTTGTATCTCAACATTTCATCCCCACCTTACCGGTTTTGAATTACACCATGCACACCAGTACTGTTTAGTTGGCATTTTTACCTTCACAAATATCTCTTTGGGTGTGTTTTCTGTCAGAGATTGTCCCTCCTGAACACTTTCTTGTTGCAAAACTTTGATATGTCTCTGCATCTATGACAATGCGAATAGTCATGGAATATTTACTGTCATTTAATTACCTGTGGTAAGCTTTTCTGGAACACTTGCAAGCTGAGAATCATGGGAGCAGCCAATGCCCAATTATAATACCTATTGTAAACATAACAGTTTATCAAAATGTTTTATTTCTTGTAGTCTGTTCTCAGATTTCTGGCAAGTACAGGTAATCCCCGAGTTACGAGCATTCACTTAACGCACATTCAAAGTTACGTGATCAGCACCCCCTAGTGCTTACGAGCAAGTCCCGAAATTATGACTATTACAGCACCACGGCAGTCGTTTGCCCTTACGAGTCACCACAGAGGCTCTGCACTATTCACCCTATTCCCCTCCCCCCTCCTCACAACTGCTTCCCCCTCCCTTCCTGCCGCGCCAGAGTCACCTTGCAAAATCTGTCTCCTCTCTGCTGCGGTTTCTTTCCTTTGAGGGAGAGGAGGAAAGCTTGCAAATGCGCTGCTTGCTTGTGTGCACCGGCCTTATTGAGAGCAATCCTGCTGCTGCGCCTCTGCTTTTCTCCATTCAGATGGAGCTGAGAAACCCAAGCCGCTGCCGCTAATAAACTTCTTATCCAAAGGGAGACCTTGGGGAAACTGGATTCTCCCTTTGTGAGCAAATGGGCAGTTCAGAACAAAGCAAATTCACTGAGTTTTCAAGTGTTGCATTCGCACACAGATGGAGCTCCCCATCTCCCCAAGATCTCCATTCAGATAAAAGGTGTTTGAGTGCCTATGGGAGCCTTGGAAACCCAGTGAATGTGGATAAGAAGTTTATGTGCGCCTATCTGGCATTTGAAAACGAAGCAATTTGCTTCCTTTTGAACCATTTGCTCAGAGAGGGAGAATCCAGTTTCCCCAAGGTCTCCCTTTGGATAAGAAGTTTATTAGCTGCAGCGGTATGGGTTTCTCGGCTCCATCTAGTGGAGGAAAGCTAGAGGTGCAGCAGCAGGATTGCTCTCAATAAGGCCGGCACACACAAGCAAGCAGCGCACCCGGGTCTTATTGTTTGAGAGCAATCTTGCTGTTGCGCCTCCACTTTCCTCCATTCAGACGGAGCTGAGAAACCCAAGATCCTGACGCCACTTGAGTGAAAAGGACGACAAGGAGAAGAGTGTTGAGGATTTGTACCAGCCGGCCGGCCAGGCAAGGACTAGGTTGGGCAGCTGGTTGGGGAAGGAGATCATGGCCGCTCAGGTGGTTGCCGCCACTGCTGGCTTGGATCGGGTGCAAAAGACCTGACCCTGCAATGCCTCCCCACTCATTTGAAGGCTTCGTGCCTGCCCTCAAACTAACTCCGGTGCACACAAGCGAGCTGCTCAGCCGGGCCACGGACGGTATTGGTTCCTGCACCCGATTGACTCCAATTTCACGCTTTGCCCCATAGCCATGCAAATGAGGCAAACACTTCTCCCTCCCCGAGAATGGAAGCTTCCATGGTATCTTCTGCAAAGAATGGGTGTTTGAACTCACACGATATTATGGCACCCAGGAGCTTCCATTGTCAGCACGAAAAGCATTTGCAAAGGAAAGAAAGCGCAGCAGAGAGGAGACAGATTTTGCAAGGCAAGTGACTCCGGTGTGGCAGGAAGGGAGGAGGAAGCATGAGGTTTCTTAGTTTGTCGAGGAGGCCTTGGGGGCCTGTTCCATCTCTAGGCCCGACATGGCCTTCCCCACCTTGAGATACCTCGTGTGGTCTTAATGAGCCGTGTGCGTCTTAACGAGCAAGGGAATGATCTCGTTTGATTTACGAGATTCACTCTATGAGTTTTCAATTTACGAGTGGAATGGGCAGGCTCCATTATACTCGTAACTCAAGGACTAACTGTATAAGATTGCCTCATTATCTTTTCTGAGTAAAATTCAACCTTAATTTTAAATTATTTTAAGGATAAATATCCAATAAGTATCCAGTCACATTATCTGTCAATACAGTAAAATTAGAATAAAATAATTTAGCAACAGAAGACTTAGATAACATTACCTGTTGTATATCTTTATTACCAAGTTAGGATTATCTATAAGACTTGGATTTTCAGCAAATTCATGATAAGTAATTATGTGTTCCATGAATTTTTCTGCAATGCAAAGATATTCCATCAATTGAATGAAACATGTTTCATCTTCTTTGCGAACAATCTCTTCCTTTAGCTCCTCTTATATAATTATGCTCTTTTTGCCACAGTTATGCTCATTGTGCTGTTGAGAATATTTCCATTCATTTGTTATGCTCTGTCTATACCCGTTGCATGCACTTTCTAGTACAGGGAGAAGCATATACGTTCCATTATAGCATTATATATTTTAACTACTTCAAGGAGGTAGTAGGGAATAAGAGCATATAAATCTAAAATGTGCCTAAAATAATTTAATAATAATAGTTAAAATATGTATGCCACACTTTAAAACAATTAATAAAAATAATGAAGAAAGCTGCAAGTAAAAGAAAGGCTGATATATTTCTTGCAACTGTATGTAACTATTTATATTAGGGGTACCCAATCCCCAGTCTCTGAAGTGGTACCGTCCATGGCCCGTTGAGAACCAGCTGCACAAGTGGCAGGCAAGCATGCAAAGCTCTATTTGCACAAGCAACATTCGTGCATGTGAAACCATACCCTCCCCCCTGCCAGTCCACGGAGCTGGACAGGTTGGGGGCAGCTGATTTACATGACCTTACTATGTTTAAAAATTTGGCAGCAAATAGACATAACTTTTGTCCATATATGGCAGAGCTTGTTTGTATCAATCCATCAATTCATTGCACCAACTATAGGAACATAATCCACAAGACATTCATTTCTATTATAATGGCTAAAACATTCAAGATAAAAGAACAAGGATAATATGTTCTCTCCCTGAACATTAGGGATAAACATATAATTAAACTAAATAAAAGTAAATATGGTAAATTTCTATTTCTATATACACTAAAGTTTTCTAACATAGGAAAATAAACAGTACAAAACACTTCCAGTAGATACAATTAGACATTTTATACATTGCACATCTCAATAGAAATTATCTTCAGAAAGAAAGCTTCTATCTTACATGTAGTATACTTTTGTAGCTTCATACTGGAGATTCTTCTATTCATTTCATCTTGCCAAGTTATATAAGTAATAACAAGATAAAAATATACCTTTAGATATCTCTCCATTTTCACTAAGACCTCCACAAAGAGATAATGTAACATCAGGCAAGTCCATTGCAGAATCAGACATACAGTCGGTACCACTGTCTGCAGCAGCACTTCCAACTGATTGTGGAGACTGGGAACCAGAGAAAGTGTCAGACTCCAACCACTGTCTAGTACCTGGATCAGAATCACTAAAGAGCATAAAAGAAGCCTTTTACAACAATAACAATGATAATAATAATTCATTAAACTTGCATGCTGCCTGATTCTCAACTACAGCTCACCACAATAAAAGAAATTAGAATAAAATCAATGAAAGTTAAAATAAAAATTATTTATATATAAATGTACAAAACTGACAATAAAAATATAGTTCTAAAACAAAAGAAAAACCTTAAATGTTATTTATACAGCCATTTTTAGATCAGTTAGATGTTCATTACATTGTAAGTTCGTAGAAATTATTTTATACAATTAGAAAGGATTATTATTATTATTATTTCAGTTATTTGAGTTGTAGAATTATATATAATCCTCATTTACCAATGATAACTGGGACTGAATAGAATTAGCAGTGTTGCTGACACAATCCTAAAGCGTGACATTATGACTGCGTCAACTTATGATGGCAATCCCAGCACCCCGAGTTGCCATTGTTAGCAAAATCCTGCACGGTTTCAGTCTCTCATAGTCATGTGATTACCATTTGCAATCTCTTGCCAGCTTCCTCATTCACTTTTCTTTTTGGAATCCAGCAATGAAGGTCATAAATGGTGATCATGTGATCACATACGACACTGGAATGTTATAATTGTAGGCCTGTTGCCTAGCACCCAAATCATAATCATAATCATGTGACCACAGGGAAGCTGCAATGGATGCAACTATATGGACCCATTGTAAGTCCTCCTCATCCATCACCAACCTAACTTTGGACAGTTACTGAACAAGTGAATGTGTAACATCACTTGTATCTGAATAGGAGAGTCTCACAGTCAGCTTTGCTATTAAAAAGTCAGGGAGTGCATTCCCATCCTCCATATCTAATAATTTTTGTCCGAGAACTATGATGAATTAAAAACTTATTTTTCAAACTAGCCTAAGATTTATTCATGTACTAGGGTAATTATAAAAAGAATGTATATTATTGAAAAGAAAAATAACAAGGTGAAAGATACAGCTGCTACTTAAAGAGAGCAGTTAAGCAGTTTAAGACGTCACAGAGTTGAGAATGCCTTTTGAAGTTTCTCTTTGATTATCCCAAAGATGCTTTTTCATGAGGCAACTGGACAACTAAAGACTAGTTCCCTAATGAAAAAGCACCTTTGAGATAACTATGACTTGGATGACTGAGAATCTACATAGACTTCTCTTTGATTCCATACATATTCTTAAAAGAGATATTAAATATACAGCATTACTGAAATGTGTGCTGCAATATTTATATTTTTGTCAAATACCTTTTGGGAAAATAAAGAGCAGCAACCTCAGGTTCTAGAGCCTTCAGATCATCCAAATATATGTCATCAGGTCCTTGGTGCTGACTTCTTTTATGTATCCCTAAAAAGAAAAAAAGTATTATATTGACCAACTGAGGAATCTAAAAAATACAGTAGGAAAAGAAATTCAAGGGAAATGCTTCTATAAAGGAAAAAAAAACCTTTTACCGTTAAGTTAGAAGTTAACCAGCAAGCTAAGCAACATATTTCCAGGTGATCTGGGGTATTTTTTCTCTGAAAACCCTCTTATATGGAGTCCTCCAAGTTTGATTGTTTCTTTGCAGATATTTGAAGATGTTACCTAATCTGGTAACAAAACATCTGCAAGCAATGAAACATCTGCAAGCAAACAACCAAGTTCAAACAACAACAACTGCTGTTCAGACTGAGCTCCATATATTCTACTCTATTGGCAATACTGTTGCATTCTATCCCATATTGTTCAAAAAGAATCTGACTTTCCTCTATTTAGGCTTCTTAAGAAGAGAGACATATGGCATATAAACAAAATTCTAAAATTTGTAATTTTAAGAGCACATATTATACAAGTAGTCCTTGATTTATGACCCTTCATTTAATAACCATTTGAAGTTATTTGTGACCAGTCCTTGCACTTAAGACTGTCTCTGCAGTGACATTTAAATTTTGGGCAGTTGGCAACTGGAATGTATTTACAATGCTTGCAGCATTCTGGGATCATACAATCGCCTTTTACAACATTCCTGGGGAGTTTCCGACCAAGTAAACAGGGAAGCCAGATTCATTTAATGACTATGGCAAAAAGCTGTAAAAGCTGGCATGATTAACTTAATAACTGCATTGCTTAGAAATGAAAGTTCCAATTATGATTGTAAGTTGAGGACTACGTATACTAACAAAATGAGTATACTGGTAACTCACAAAATGGCTGCCATTACCAGTTACAAAAAGTTCATTTATTGGAAAGCAAAACAGCTCCCTATGATGATCTCTACCATCCCAGTGATAGGCATAACTATAAAGATAATACTATCTACTAGTTGGAGCTCTGTAGTAGGTCTGCTTCCTATTTACATTTTTATAATTAAAAGTATCGTAAAACATATGGACAGGGTCACTAATGAGTATTTGTGCAACTAGCACTAAGATGGCTACCAGGGCTAAGTGCAACTAGTGCAACTAGCACTAAGATGGCTACCAGGGCTAAGGAGATGAATATTTTCTTCTGTAATGTTTATAGAAAAACAATTACACTATGTTATATGTAAAATCAAAATGCTCATATCTGAGATACAAATTATTCTGTATCCTAATCTAAAGGAATGGTTGCGAGCAAAGCTACTATATACATTTGTTACTTACCTCTCAAAACTGGTTATATATCTGAAAGCTAGGAAAAATGAAAAGTATTTCAAAATGTTACAAAGCAATTAGTTAAAGGTGTATACCTTTTTTCTTCGATGGAGAGTCAAGCTTTGTTGGTGGCTTAATTTCTGATGGTGACTCCACTAGTGGGCTGGGGAGTATATCAGTATCTAAGTCAGGAGAATGCTCAAGAATTTCCAGAACAGGCTCTGTTACTGCAGAAGCAAGTCTATCTTTGATATCTAGCTCCTTAAGTAGTGGATGTGTTCTTGGCTCCGGTTTGAAAACTGTACAAACTGAATCATTCATCAGAATATCATCTTCAATTATATCATTGCTAGATATAACCCTAAAATGAGTCTTCTCTGATGGAGTGATGGTAGCTGTTCTAAGATGTTCCAGTTTTTCCTTCTTGCTTATCTGAAAAGGAAAGCATCCTTTTTCTAAAATGGTCATTCATCATCTGTGTTGTTCAGTTCAGAACTGTGTGAACTGATCAAACCTATAAATTAGCAAAGCTTGAAGGATATTTGACTATGATGATCTATCATAAAATAAGTTATAGAAAGTATAGACATCTTGTTTGTCCCAATTTGGATATGATGTTTATTCCCACACTTTCAATATATTTTTCAGTAACGTTTTCTCCCTCTTCATGATTCTGAAATAGATACTATAGAAATAGATATGGTAATGCATTGGCTCAACAGGAAGCAATCTCATATGAAGAGCCAAATCACTGATAAAAATATAACTGCAAATGGGAAATTTAATCAGTGGAAAAACTTGCAATAATGTGCAAGCTGCTTGTCCTTTAACTCAGCTTCATGAAACTTACAAGCCATTGTTTCTTACATGTATAATCTATACTCATGTCTTAAAAAGCAAGTAAGATTGTTTTAATCAATCTTAAATATTGTTTTAATCAATATTAAATATAAAAATATTTAATATTGATTACATAAGTCACTTTGAATTTTAAAAACCCTTTTCTATAATTTGAAGTAGGAAAAACCAAATACAAGAAAACTTCAGCAATTATGAGTCTCTGCAGTTAGCCCAAGCTTAAATGGTTAAACTCCTCATTACTAGCCCATATAAATACTTATTTTAATGTTTACATTAACTTGTTTTACAGTTTTTATATAATATCTATATATCATCAATTTATATGAGAAAAAAATCAATTTCACAAAGAAAACAATACATGAATTTATCATCAATATTCATATCAAAAACAGAAAGTAAAATGTTGAATCCTGGTGCTTTACTGATTTATAAGCTATTCTGCACCTTAAATTTCACTATTTCTATAAGATGCTCAAATATGTTTATTGTTTATACCACATGCAACAAACTTTCAAGATCCCATTTCTTTCTATTTTCACAAAACTTTATTTGTAAAAATATAGTGACAGAAAATGTGTGGCCTAAGACCACCTTGTTACTCTATAGTTGGTTACTTCTTATATTTATATCCTACCCTTCTTGTAAGAAGGCCATAGTATATTCCTTACATATTTATCAATGAGTAACTAATAAAACTAATAGAACACAGTAACTTATAGTTACAATGAGTAACTATAGAGAGTTACTCTATAGTAACACAGAGAAGCAGCTGCATATTTTAGTAAGATGTAGCTTGATCCTGGCAAACCATGCTCTGTAACTAAAATATAGGTAATTCATTCAGAATCCTCTAGGTGGCGCACACTTGTGTACTGTTAGTATTCTAATTCAAATGAAATCAAACCTTTGCTCGTGTTTGCTGAATAGGCTTTATTGATGAAGTTAGACTTCAATAACTTTTAAACCACTGCTTAGTACTTCACTAAGCAAAATATTCCCTGCAAGCCTAAATAAAATTCTAAAATTTGAAACCGGTATATATTATGTCTGTATAAAAGTGCGAGTTAAACAAATCAGCACAACTTTTAGCACTATTTTACTTGCTGAGCTTATGGCTATTTATATTAAACATTTGCAAAGTTTACTTAGTCACATAGATGAGTGATATCAAATTTCAAGGTTTAGATCAACAAGAATCATTACAATAACCAGTAGAATTATCCAAATTGCTCACAAAAGCAAAAGTTGAGGGCGGGGAGGTGTTGTTGCACTGACTTTTAACTAACACTTTTCCAGACACTTCCTTTAAATGTTTTGACTATTTTATAAAATGACCTATAGTGAACCACAAGAAGCAGCATCTTTCATGTATTTCTTCAGAAAATTATTCATAACATTATTACTGATAAACATGTTCCTACTGTATTATCAAATGTTTTCAGAAAACAGAATGATTTGCAAAAAGTTTTACCTTGGTAGATGCAGGAAAGCCTCCCCATGTCCATTCCATGTGAGATTCTCCTCTAATAAGCAAGTTCTCTGTAGGCTTAACTTCCAGTTCTGAATCACTTTTAGGACAAGTGGACTGGCTAAAAGGGCTGTTAAAACAAAGGAAAGACATTTATTGTACAAGGTTATACAAAGAATGTTCTCTAATTAACATTCAGCAGCAAAGCAGAAAGCCAAGCTGATGTTTAGACAGATCTAGGAAATTAAAATAAAATCATAGCAGACAGTGTGAACATTTATCTTTTTCCATTTTTTATTATGTTTTGCTGCTTTTCAGATTAAATGCTCTGAAAGTATACTTGAATTCCAAAACAGCTTTATCTACAACCGCTTGCCAATATCATTGTGTAACAGATTTAAATAGGAACAAAGCAGTATATTCAACAGAATTGTAGCAAAATCTGCAGAAGCCAGAATTCTCTCAAACCAAGGGCTACTGTACTAGCATTAATTCAATTATATGAAATGAAATGTTCAAAACCAGTTTACATCTTTTTACCAGCACAACTAACAGACTTTTAAGTGTCTGGCCAGATAAGCCTTATTTCAGTTTACAGGCAGTTACTTCCAGTGCGTGCAAAACGCTTTTTTCATACATAAAAAAGATTCAAACGCAATGAAAAAAAATCACTGATTTGACTGGTATGATTGAAAATTACACATAATTTACACTGAAATATAACTTATTTTGGGAGGAATATGGGAGATTGGCTAAATTCCTGTTATTATAACCTTTACCCTTTTGCTCACCCTCTCTTTCAATCTCCTCAATACTAATCTTTTCTGCTTTAGTCCATATATTTCAAAAGGGCAGTAAAGAGAGATGTGCCCTAACTACACAGTTTGAATATAATCATATAATCTAACTACGATGATTCAAAAATGTTGAATATGCATCTTGATATCACAACACATGCTCTGTCCTTTCATATTTGCATTGCAATATAGCACATAGGTATATAAGGGGAAGTTAAATTGTAAGAGAATTTAAGGATATGTGAAAAGTGCCCAAAAAATTTTAAAAATACTTTAAAGAGGTGCTTTGTCAGAAAAGTTTGTACAATGAATCTTAGGAATCTTAACAGTAATGTGTCAAAATGCATGATCCCTAACAGTACTGAAAAGTTGAGGCAGCTCACAGTTACTAACCTAATGATCCTTTTTCTGCAGATTTAATGTCAAAAATATTTAACCTTTAATACCATTTTCATAAAAGAATGATACATGAAGATAACTTACTTCTCTGAAACAGGCCAATCTCCATCTGATAAAGGGTAATCATCCTTTGAAGGATAAATCAATGTATCTTTATACTCTTCAACCTTTGGTGGAGAATCTGCAGGGTTTCTGTAACATAGAATTGATGTATTAAAGGAACTTTTATTTAGTACTGAATGACAGCATTAAAGGACTAACGTAACAATCTGCTTTTATATATAGATTCACATAGGGAAAAGGGTAAGCTGGTAGACACTTTCATCCCAGTATCAGCAATTCAGTTAACTATTCTATTGTTTTAGCTTTTTTTAACAGATCAAAGCTTGAAAGATTAGTTAATTGTCTTTGGTCCCTGATAGAACATTCAAGTCTATATAGCAAATATCTCTATAGAATGATGTATATTTGGGGGTATTATAATTACTTGGATTGTGTTTAAATGTATGTTTTCTTAGTGGATCTGGAAAAATAGCCTATATATATATATATATATATGCCTGCTTTTAAATAATTATTAATACATCCTAAAATGTATGCAGAATAAATCTATCCATACCTTAACTGCTGTAAATATAAAAGTCTTTATAGAAACTTTAGATTTCAATTACAATCCTTACAAAGCTCCACAAATGGTTACTTAATATTAACTAGATATATTATTTAAAGTTGTATCCTTATGGAAAGATTACCTTTTCATTTTTCTTATTTTATAATAAAAAAGTAATACTTTTTTACTTGATATAGCAGTTACAAAATCTGTTTTTGTAGCAAACATACCTACTGTATTTAATCTTGCTCATTACTTATTCTATTAGCTATTTTTAAAGTCATTATTACAGATATTACTCTGAATATGAATTTTGAAAGGTAAGTTAAACACCTAATTGAATTTATAAAATAAAAGTTATTTTTTTAGTTTAGGATTTATATAATATAAAAGAAATATTATTACTGAACGTTTTACAGTGTGGCTGTTTGACTAAACAGAACTTTTTGAAAATTTTTTTACCTCAAAGGTAGAATACACCTGTCATCATCTGAACTTATTTCCATTTCAAAGATTTCCTCAGTTCCAAGAGAAGAGAATTGTTCTTCTTTTTTCACATCTTGTTTACATTTTCTCTTTCTTCGTTTTTTTTTCTTCACTGACCCAGAGGGGAAAAAAGGCTCTGTTTCTACAATTTGCGGAATTTCTGAGCTTAAATCTATTTTTTCATTTTCACCTGACTTCATCAAATTTTGTTTGAAGAACTGATCTTCTGTAGGTATCGGCGATGTTGCGAGATGGGCTGGAACATTTTCCTAAAAGTCATTTAGGTGAATTTGAATTTTGTACATTATATATATGTTACCTAATTATTACAATATTTAACTCACAAATTAACACTGAAGACAAAAAGAACAGATATAGAAGTATATGTTATGATGTCCAGAAAAAACTTATGTTTGAGTTGTGATAGTCATTTAAAAATTATTATTCAAATATATTAAGAGAAGGGAAGATGGATATGCATAGGACAGGTTAACTGTTCATACCCACATTTAAATGAAGATGTGTTTTGTACTGATATTCACTAAGATTTGGATACTCACTTTCTCTTTTCTCATAATGAAGGGTATAGTTTCCTAACAGAACTAAGAGATAAAGCTCTGAACATTTTTTCTAACCAATGTTTAGTTTTATATGCAAATCCTCAATAATCATTAATTTTTATGGTATGGTAAAACAAGCCACTTTTATAAAATTTTGTTTGAAATAGGTTGGTTTAAAACAAAGGATTAAAATTAAACTATGTGGGATTCAGAATTTAAAAAAAATAATGAAAACAGAAGAAAGTTTCAAAATTCTTCTTACCTTGATGCCGCAGCAGGAAAATGGTAGATGAATACATATACCTTATCTATATGCACTGTTGTATTTCATAATCTATTACCCTTATTTACGTAAGCTAAACATGACAAAGGTTCAGCAATTTTGCATTCCACAATTGGCTTTGCTAAATCCAAAGAAATGCTTTTTGCTTTATATGGAAATGCATTTAAAAAAAATGGAAAGCAAGATCAATATAATTGATTTCTCCTATTCTATTATTTTGGAACTGACAAAAAATAGAGTGGGATGTGTAGAGCGGGATGATATTTCTCATCCTCAATCCAATTAATATTGAGAAACAGAAATTGAGACAGTCTTATTGCCGCTTGATAAAAACATACGGTCTTTGTTTGTTTTATTGTTTACTTGTATTCATAATATTTTTAATTGCTGTCTTGTGTTAATATTTTTATTGCTGCTTTGAGTTATATTCTTTAGTATTTCTGCATATTCTTTGATTGTTATCTCATGTTCTATGTGTGAGAGAGAAAATATATGGAAGTCTTTTTAAAACATCCAGGAACAAAAATAAATAAGAAAAGGGAAAATAAAATAAAAATTAAGCTAGAGATGGAATTAAAAGGAAAGAAAATAATAAAAGATAAAGGTTGAAATATTCTGTCAGCTTGAAAAAATCAATTTCTTCTAAATAAAAAACAAACATCTGCCCAAATTGAATTGGAATAAAGCTACATATGTTAGATGACTTACAAATTTTTCTTCTGTTTCCTGCACAAAGAAGGCCTCTCCATTATCACCCAGTTTCATGTGAAGATCAACTGCTTCTCCATTAATTTCAATATCAATCTATAAAAAATACAACAGAACACTTGCTGCAATAAAAACACACGTCAAAATGTATGTTTATATTTAATCAATATATTATTTTTTTAACCTAAATCATTGAAAGAAAAAAATTAGCAATACACCATGTTTATACCATGTTTATTTATTTATTTGGTAACTTTACAGAGCTGCTCATCTCCGAGTGGTGCACTAAGTTAAAACACAAAACAATACAACAAAATAACCAAAAATAACCACAATAGTGATTTTAAAAGTTTAAAATAATACAAAACTATTAAAACTGTAAAAATAATTTGTGGGAGATTGCAATCAATCTCACTAACAATACAGCCATTTTGCTGGCTTCACCCCACCTCACTATCATCAGATCTGGAGGCTAGCTGGCAAAGCTATATTTTCACTTTTGTTTGCCATTCTTCAAACAATTATCGATGTGTTATGAGTTACGAGCAACAAAGCAACGTATCCATCTGACTTAGCAGCATGGGTATCTGTAGGGATGTAAGCGATGGGCAAGTGACATCATGATATTATAACACCATTGAGACAAACTATGTAATCTACCTCATTTATATCATGATGTGAATTAAATGTGACATAATTATATGACATAATGATGTAAGTGATGTCACTGGACTTCTATAAATGTATATTAGGTGGTAGATGAAAGCAACAACGTAAATCTCCAATGTATATCAATGCCAAGAAAAGCAAAAACATTTATTGTTATGCTTTCTATGGCCAGACTTAATAAAGGCCTCTATTTGGCCATTCTGGGTAACTGAACAAAACTTTGCTACTGTATAGCAAAGCTCTCCTCCCTATCCTGCAAGTATTTACTGAATCTGGAAAAATGATGTGCCATAATAACAGCATAATTTAAACTGTACATACACTTGGCAAAAAAAAAGAAAGAAAAATATTTTGTTTCCCTAGTCTCTGACATTCATGGTACTCACCACTTTCTCTTTTGAACGTAAGACACCAAGTTTTCCAAATCGGACATGGAATGGTGAGCACAGATATGTACCATCTTGTTGCCGAACTACAATTACATCAATACATCCTGAAAGTGTAGCTTGATTAAGGCCTTTATACAACTCCTTCATAGTAACCAGAAGTCCAGCAAGCTGTCCAACATAATTCATATTTTAAAGCTACAAAGAAATGTTGATTGAAAATATTATTCCAAATACAATGAACTTTAAATTAAAAAAACACATGCACAATCATGTTATCATAAATTTTAATTTATTATAATTTAATCTGATAATTGTGATCTGTGGTTATATGTGAAAGACATTAAAAGTAAAAGGTTACTCATAACTCCAGAATAAAAGAAGTCATGTGTATTGTCAAAAATGTCAAAAGTACACTTTCAATTATTTAAGAATTTTGAAAAATCTTAAAGTTCAAGACCATTTATTATAATGAAATGCAAAATGGTAATGCATGTATAGGGGTCTAAACAAATAAAAAATTACAGTTACACAAAACACATGTTATATGTACCTTATTCAAGTGGAAACTCAAAATTAACACTCAGTTTATACACTTAGGAAACTGCAGATGATCATTGTTCTCTGCTTATGCATGGTACATTTACCCTTAATATTCACAGGTGCATAATCACTATTGTGCATCTTTTTAGGCAAGGATCAACTACAAGCGTTAATATCAAATATTCATTTGGTTGCTAAAGGAATTGACTTACTGGCTTTTCATCTGAGCCTGACATGACACTGTGGCTAAGAAAATCACTGTGGCCCAACGTCACTCAGTTGGTTTTCTTGTCTAAGGTGGGATTCATAGTCTCCTGGTTTCTAGCCAGGTGCCTTAATCACTAGACCAATTTGACTTTAAGTTACATCAGATCTAACATGAAGCCTCCAGTATAGACCCATCACAACCCTGATTTAATGAAATCTTTTCTAAATCCTCAACTCCACTCATGCTCTCATTCTTGTGGTCTGCTTAGAGCAGTGATTCTTAACCTGTGGTCACAGATCCCTGGGGGATCGCGATGTCATCACAAGGGGTCTGGGAAGACTTGAATAAATGTTATGATTTAAATCCTGAGTTAAGTCTTGGTGATCTGTGACCATGGTCCGTCACCACAAAAGGTATTTAAAGGGTATCCATGGTGAATAAAAGGTTGAGAACCACTGGCTTGGAGAAAGTGCTCTCTTACTAATGTCTTCTTTTCTTCTCCATCAACCTCTGTTTACTTTCAGTCACCTCCAACAATTCACTGGCTGCTCTTGGCAATATGGATAATTTTGCAGCCATCATGCCATCCTAAATGCAACCACCACCACTCAATAACCCCCCCTCTTCCAACTCCATTCCCACCAAACACAGAATCCAGACTCTCAGCATCCACCCCCACATCCCAGACTCTGCTCTCACCAAGGTTTTCTTAGAGTTTTATTTCAGTGATAGCTAAAAATAAATGGAAGTCACAGCATAGGCAAAAAAAATCCGCCCTTTTAGTTAATATTTAAAGGCATACAATATTGAAGTACATGATAAGTTGTTCTATGCTTTCGCAACATATTTATTATTCAAGATTTTTTTTTAAAAAACCCACATCTTTACTATTTTATGTAGATCTGATAAATGTTTCTGTTGTCACTAGCTATGCTATAACATTATAAAGGAGAAAATGTGTGACAGTTAGGACAACAAAAACAAATTAAAACATTCCCATTCCTTATAACCTACCCAGGGACTTAGAAACCATGAACTCTGTCAACTCAGCCATAAAACAGAAGATCAAGGAATGTATATAAAGCTGGAAGGAAGATACTGGGAACAAGCATAGGATCTGGGAAGCAAGGTCATTATATGATAAACTCACAAAAATATTCCCTAGAGAGAAACTATGTCCATGAACTGCCTATCTATTCTCTCAAATATGCCACTGTCTTGGTAGTACTGTCCTCATTATATCATAGTATTACTTTAATTATTTTTTACCTAACTAAGCACAGGATGTACAGCTATATCTAATCCAATATATTGTGGCTGTCTATAACCATGTGTACAAATGTGGCCACAAGTATTGGTATTGGCCGCTCTACTTTTTCCCCCAAATAATGTCGATTTCCCTTGAAGTAAATTGAAACTGACACTTGTATTATAAATTTTAAAAAGTAGTAATCTATTTTATTATTGTTCCCCCCAAAAATATATAAAACATAATTTGGGTTTGACTGAAGTGAGTATATAGTTTTAATTATTGAACAAGAAACACATTTAAATATCTCAAAGAAGTCAAGCTTCAGTGTGTTAACATAATGAAACAATGCTTTATTCAATCTCATTATCTTTCTTAAAAATGTTAAAGCATTATTATTATTATCTTCCTTTTAATCATGTCTGGTTTTGGGAAATTGCCTGGACAACTTCCTGCAGTTTTCTTGGAAAGGTATTTCTGAAGTGATTTCCATTGCCTCCTTCCTAGGGCGGAGAGAAAGTGACTGGCCGAAGGTCACCAAACTAGATTTGTACATAAAGTGAAACTGACTCATAATCTCCTGATTTCTAACCTGATGACTTAACCACTATACCAAACTGGTTTTCATTAATTATTAAACCAATACAAAAATAATTAAAGCAATACAAATAATAACAGTTGCCAACTAAACCACTAGTTTCATTTCATTTATTACAAATACTAGATGAACAAAACAATACAAACTAAGAAACAGAAATGAAGAGAAAGGGGAAAGAAAATAAAAAAGAGGAAAAAACTACTTTTCCTACAGTTCTAAAATAATAATAATAATAATATAGTCCCTTTTTTGTCCAAAAATTAAATCTAGGCCATATGGAATAAGTTAGTACCTGTTACGACGGTAATTGGGACCTGAAGTTCTGTTGCTAAGCAATATAGTTGTAAAGCACAATGTCTACATTGCTTAGTGACAGAAATCTCAGCAGTCCCTTTGCTATTATTAACCAAATCTCACCAGGCAAGTATTAGGCAAGGATTCACCCTGATGCAAGAAATTCCTGGTTGGTCATTTCCGAGTCCCCAATCTTGATAAAGAGAATGCCTTTTCTTGAACTCCCCCCACTCACCAATCTCTCCCCCATGTCTGCTATTTTGGCCGCCATGCACAGCAGCACTCATTGGTAGTGGTAGCAGCACTAGTGGCCCTGGGGTTGAAGCAGAGGTCCAGAGACTTCAGCAGTCTTAGGCAGCCACTGCCACCCCAAGTTTCTATTTCAGCCCCAACGCCACTGATCCATTGAGGAAGGCTGCTCTGCAGTCATCTACCTCAGTGCAAAACCCCAGCCATCTTCATTGTCCTGCAGTCCACTGTCCCTGCCATCCCAACTGACCTTCAGTTTTCCGCCTCCCACTGCTGATGAGGAGCATCAGCCCTGGCTCCATGTGGCGCAGCTGCTGGCCATTCCAGGCCTTCTTCCCAAGGGCATGTAGACCATTCTTCAAATCAAGTGTGCTCTTCTTGTGTGATGCTTTGGAAGGCTTCTGAGACCTTCTGGAACCTCACAAGGTGGCCATGCCCACCATTCTCCAAATCACAGGCAGCCTTCTCAGAAACCTTCCAAAGCATTGCAAGGACACACACACTTTTGAAAGCCTGCTCAGCTTGGGGAGTAGGTCTGGCATGGCCAGCAGCTGCCTCATATAGGCATAGGTCAGTTGGGCACAGCAGGGGCGGCAGAGGTGGCTGGTGCTTTGCACTGGATTGAGGCAGCACTCCTCGGTGGAGGCCCCAGTGCCACTGAAGCTAAAGTAGAGACTGAGGGGTGGCAGGGTCTGACTGAGGTTGCTAAGGTTGCATGTATCATTCCCTTAGTGCTGCTATATCTTTCAGTCACTGAACAAATGGTTGTTAAGTAAGCACTACCTGTAATAGGATTCTTACTATATTTCTAGCATTAAAGGAAGCACAAAATGTTTCGGCCTTCTACAAATTGAAAAGGAAAGATTTTATATCTTATGCCAAATGGATATTTTGAAATAATTCTTATTTTAAATGGCAGGAAAAGCTTTTATTTATTTATTTTTAATCATACACTGAGTAGAGATCACTTATTAAGCAGTTAATGAGTGAATTTATGAAAGGAATATAATTTATCAAAAACAGCTGACAATATAGTAAATCAAATATTACGTTCCTTCTTTGACACTTTATAGCAACCTTTCTCAACTGGGATTTCATGAATGGTCACTAGTGGTTCCACAAAATTGTGATGGAAAAACATGTTTTAATTTTGCTCAATGCTAGCAACTGCAGTGCCACAATCACACTAACAGTATGAATTGAAGATAACCTTTTTATGTAGGAATATTCTGAGACCTGTTTCAAGAGTTCCTCCAGGGTAACAGGGTTGAGAAAGTCTGATCTTTTTTTTTTTAATGACCCTGTAATCCAGGGGTGTCAAACTGCCGGCCCGTGGGCCGATATCATCATACCGGAGCTGCGCCCATCCCATTGCTGGCAATGGCAAAAAAGCTCCGATACGTCGTGAGTTTGACATGTCTGCTGTAATCCCTTGCATCGGGGTGGAGTTGAGGCGACTGAATGGAGCTGAGCATTTACTGGCTGGATGTCTTTCCTGACGCCTATGCAGAGTTCGGAGCAGATATTTTTTCTTTGCGCCCAGAGAGAGAGATATCTGCTCCGCTAGAATCGAACTCATAGCCTCTTGATTGTGAGGCAAGAGCTCCACCTCTAGGCCACCATGCCACTCCCCGAGAAAGTCTGGTTTAGCCCTCTGAAATTCATTTTTGTATCTGTACTGGAAAGCGTTTACTTAAAAATGTATTAGCGAAGTCTGAAAAAAAATACTGAAAATTCTACAGAGAAAAAATATGGTTATTAACAACAAAAATAATTATAGATCATTAATGCTTGAATTTGCAAAACATTTTTATTTTTCTGTAATTGGAATGAAGCTTGAAAAGGTACCCAATGATATGGCCCAAGTGTAGCATACATTTGCTAAATGAAAGTCCCTACTAGAATTTAAACATTATGATATATTTCAAATATTAGCCTAGGTTCCCATTTTCAGATTTTATATTAAACTGATGCAAGCATCGGATTAATTTCTAGATGTCCTAGAAATATCTTACAAAAACTACTCCAATCTCAATAAATTCCTTAGT